CATCCTAAAGGAAAGCAGTCCTGAATATTCATTGGAAGGACTGATGCTGAGGCTGAAGCTCCAGTACTGTGGCCACCTGATGGGAAGAACTGATTCATTTGAAAAGATCCTGATGCTGGGAAAGATTGAAGGCAGGAGGAGAAGAAGGGGATGACAGAGGATGAGATGGTTGGATGGCATCACCGACTCAATGGACATGAGTTTGAGTAAGCTCCAGGAGTTGGTGATGGACAGGGAGGCCTGGAGTGCTGCACTCCATGGGGTCGCAAAGAGTCAGACACGACTGAGCATCTGAACTGAACTATCTGTGACTAACTGGAGACAGGGTTTTAAAGAAGTAATTAAATTAAAATGAATTTACTGGGATGGATGCTGATCCAGTATGAATGATGTCCCTGTAAGAAGAGGAGACTGAAACAAAGACACACAGAGGGAAGACCGCGTGAAGTCACAGGACAAAGACGGCCATCAACAAGCCGAGGAGAGAGGCTGGCGAATAAACCAGCCCCTCCTACACCCTGATTCTGAACTTCTAGTCTTCAGAATTGTGAGAAAATAAATTTCAGTTGTTTGAGCCATTCAGTTTGTGATGCTCCATTATGGCAACCCTGATAAACTAATACAGATACTTTTCCATCTTCTCCCATGATCCCTTTGACTTCCTAGTGACCACTTATCTACAGAAAATTGTACCACACTACCTGGATGAGTTAGATGGAATTTGATTTTGAAATCTATAATAGGGTACCAACTTGACTCTAATTAGAGTGATTTCATGAGGAAAAATTCAGATATTAGGAGGAAGAGAAGCCTAGCAGATTTGAAAAGTTATGAGAATCAGATGAAATCAGGGAGACTTTCTCGATGCTCCAGATGCCTCTTAGGATTTGATCCCAGCCTTCTCAGAAGGCCCTCTTATTACTTGTGCAATGACAGATACCATTCTCAGTTTTAAAATATAGCTCTGTTACTCCCTAGCTGTATGTCTCACTTTTCTGAAGTGTGCATCATTTTCCATATTGAAAAAGTAGGGCTGCTATCGTGCTGACCTTCTCAGAGTTATCATGAGGAATTAACTGATTTAATCTATGTATCTTATGACTGATAGAAAGCAATCCATAAGGTTAGCTATTATGCCTGTTACTAACATCAAGCAGTAGTTATGCATGTGTTGTATCCTTATTATGATCATTTCTAGTCTAACTTCTACTGTTTTCTCATTCATTTTATCTTAGTCTCCATTATGAAATTTAAAGACATGGGACTACAGTATCCCCAAACACAGAGATCTTCTTTAATATAAAAATGACTTTCCCCCCTAAACTATGATCATTATTGCATTGAGAAGGGTTAAGAAGACTAGCTAGATAATCTGAAGTCAGTCTAGGGAGTATGTGCAAGTCAGAAAAATTATATTCCAGTCAAAGATAGTGTGGTCATGAATTAACCATAAATTCAAATTATGGACAGATAATGTATATCATCTATATTAGCAGTCACATATTCCATTAGAAGTCACTTTTATTTCATATTTCATATTTAGAATTTACAAATAGCTGATGCCTCAGCATTGCAGAAATACTGAACAATATTGGAGGATTTTGACATTTAGTTTAAAAATGTACTTACTATTATAAATATATAATAGAAGTAATTTCATGAGCACGGCGTGATTCAAAGCACTGACGTGAAACTGAGAATGATTTTATTATTATTTCACTCACTTGAGTGCTAAGATGCATTTTGGATTTATTTAAAGTAGCAAATTTCAAACAATAATTCATTTGCATAGTTATTAATACATTCTAGACCACTAAAACTGTCCCATTTTTTAAAACTTGTAATGTGATTTCTGGCTTTGCATCACTGGAAACACCTGGTGATGGATAGATTTGTTTTAATAGCAATGCATTATACTTATACAATTATTTTTTTCCTCATATGTTAGAGTGAAAGCAAGTTTTCATTTTCAGAGGTTTAAAAATAAATATGATGTCATTATTGTCAAACATATCAAGGAATCCAAAATTTATAAAATCTTATAAATCATGCTGTGGTGTTGACAAGACATTTACAATCACATACCATAGCAAGTTGCATTTTTTACCTGAATGGACATTTTCTTTTAAGAAGACTTTAAAATACAGAAATCTGCTCACTGTGATTATACAGGAAATAAGCAGTCAAGATGGAACAAGGAGATTGAAACAGAAAGAAGCCATGAGATTATGGAGAGAAGAATTTATTAAATTCAACTCATATCAGCAACTACTTATTAAACAGCTATCATGTGCTTTATATTCTGGAAAATACTGAGTTGCTTGAAAAAATGAATACAAGTGAAACAAGGAGGGGAAGGAGGAGGAGGAGGAGGAAAAAGAGAAAAAAGATCACAACCCTGATCTTCCTCATCACATGGGAGTCTCTCTGGATTGACGTCATGTTCCAGTTAGGGGGATATTGTAAAGTCCCAAATGAAATACACTTAGCAGGTTCACCTTTCAATTATAACATTAGGGAGGACTTCAAATCAACCAGGAGAACTTAGCCTATCTTGATCATCTGCACAGAATGGAACATCTCCAGCATTTTATGTAGCTGTTCCGTAGCTAGGCAACCGATCCTGATCTGAGGGTAGACAGGGCATCCTCTCTATCATGAGGCTCTGATTCATGTCAATGTATGGCAAAAACCACTACAATATTGTAAAGTAATCAGCATCCAACTAATAAAAATAAAGGAAAAAAAAAAAGAGGGTGGCAGGCACCAGCAACCTTCATTCACACCTTCCTATTGCCAGAATCACTAGTTAGATGAAAGACCATTTGAGATGGACCTCAAAAAAGTCTTTCTGAAAGGCACATGCCACAGTGTTCATCAGTTCAGTTCAGTCACTCAGTCATGCCCAACTCTTTGTGACCCCATGGACTGTAGCATGCCAGGCTTCCCTGTCCATCACCATCTCCCAGAGCTTGCGCAAACTCATGTCTATTGAGTCGGTGATGCCATCCAACCATCTCATCCTCTATCATTCCTTTCTCCTCCCCAATGTCAGGATTTTTTTCCAATGAGTCAGTTCTTTGCATCAGGTGACCAAAGGACTGGAGCTTCAGCTTCAGCATCAGTCCTTCCAATGGATATTCAGGACCGATTTCCTTTAGGATTGATCTAAAGGTTTGATCTCCTTGCAGTCTAAGAGACTGTCAAGAGTCTTCCCCAACCCCACAGTTCAAAAGTATCAATTCTTCGGCATTCAGCTTTCTTTATGGTCCAACTCATATCTATACATGACTACTGGGAAAACCATAGCTTTGACCATATGGACCTTTGTTGGTAAAGTAGTGTCTCTGTTTTTTAATATGTTGTCTATGTTTGTTGTAGCTTTTCTTACAAAGAGCAAGTGTCTTTTAACTTCATGACTGCAGTCACCATCTGCAGTGATTTTAGAACCCAAGAAAATAAGGTCTGTCCCTGTTTCCATTGCTTCCCCATCTATTTGCTAGGAAGTGGTGGGACCGCATGCCATGATCTTAGTTTTCTGAATGTTGAGTTTTAAGCCAGCTTTCTCACTCTCCTCTTTTGCTTTCATCAAGAGGCTCTTTAGTTCCCCTGCTTTCTGCCATCAGGCTGGTGTCATCTACATATCTGAGGTTATTGGTATTTCTCCTGGCAATCTTGATTTCAGCTTGTGCTTCACCTAGCCTGGCATTTCACATGATGTACTCTGCTTAGAAGTTAAATAAGCAGGGTGACAATATACAGCCTTGATGTACTCCTTTCCCAATTTGGAATCAGTCCATTGTTCCACATCCGGTTCTAACTATTGCTTCTTGACCTGCATATAGCTTTCTCAGGAGGCAGGTAAGGAGGTCCAGTATTCCCGACCCTTTAAGAATTTTCCACAGTTTTTTGTAACCCACACAGCCAAAGGCTTTAGCATAGTCAATGAAGCAGAAGTGGATGTTTTTCTGGAATTCTCTTGCTTTTTCTATGATCCAAAGGATGTTGGCAATTTGATGTCTGGTTCCTCTGCCTTTCCCAAATCCAGTTTGAACATCTGGAAGTTCTCAGTTCATGAACTATTGAAGCCTAGCTTGGAGAATTTTGAGCATTACTTTGCTAGCATGTGAGATGAGTGCAATTGTGCAGTAGTTTGAACATTCTTTGATATTGCCTTTCTTTGGAATTGGAATGAAAACTGACGTTTTCCAGTCCTGTGGCCACTGATGGGTTTTCCAAATTTGCTGGCACAGTGAATGCAGCACTTTCACAGCATCATCTTTTAGGATTTGAAATAGTTCACCTGGAATTCCATCACCTCCACTAGCTTTCTTTGTAGTGGTGCTTCCTAAGGCCCACTTGACTTCACACTCTGGAATGTCTGGCTCTAGGTGAGTGATCACATCATCATGGTTATCTGGGTCATTAAGATCTCTTTTCTGTAGTTCTTCTGTGTATTCTTTCCACCTCTTCTTAATATCTTCTATTTCTGGTTAGGTCCATACCATTTCTGTCCTTTATTGTGCCCATCTTTGCATGAAATGTTCCCTTGATAGTTTTAATTTTCTTGAAGACATCTCTAGTTTTTCCCTTTCTGATTTTTCCCTCTATTTTTTTGCACTGATCACTTAAGAAGACTTTCTTATCTCCCCTTGTTATTCTTTGGAACTCCCATGGTAGNCACTACAATATTGTAAAGTAATTAGCCTTCAACTAATAAAAATAAATGAAAAAAAAAAAGTAAAACACGAGTTGTCAGACGTGACTGGTGTATGGAAATCACACTTGAAAGACTATTTAGGAGGCAAAATAAAGTAGTAGAACTACAAGTGATGCCCTCACTTTTTCAACTTACAATTTCAAAGGAAACAAACTGCTTTACTCACCTGCCGGGAAAAACTCTCCCATTTTCTTTTTGTAGATTTTGAAGTCGACTTCTAGGAAGACACAGAAGATGATCCGATCCACCTAGGGGCAAACAATAGATACCTAAAGTGAGAGGAAATATGGCAAATGCGTTCCCAGAGCATGGTCTTGGAACAAAAAATAAAGAGAAGACCCTCTCGTAGATTCTTGGTGCTATACTGTTAACTATATGAGAGTACCAAGGGAAGTGCACACATGTGAGTGTGTGTGTGTGTGTGTGTTTGTGAATGCACTCTCTATGTAAATAAACCCATGGGCAATTTGGTGGAAAGATGTTGTATAAATCAAATAAGAAATAATAAATGACAATAAGCCACTTTGCAGCAAGCTATAAATAAGATCTGAGATTCCACTAGGATACCTAGACTTTTATGTTCTATTAAACAGCCACACGAGAGGTGTACAGTGGAATGACAATAAAGTATGTCAGTAAACAGAGAGCTCTTTGTCCTACCCTTGTTAAACAAATATATTTATCAAAACTGTTAGTATTTGAACATGACCTAAAAAGCTTCACACAGTATAATTTGCATGCAGTCACTTGCTTTTAGCTTTACATACTTGGAAATGCAGCAGAAATAAACTATAATTAGTTGACAGTACATGAGGCCAATATAACTAATCTGGTAGGTTATTACTGAATAAGGAAATGCCACTTCAGAAGTAAAATGTTTGCACAGTCCCTTTTTTCTATTTTGAGAGCTTCTGCATGTAAGGAGTTTCTCTGAGACATTCCTAGAGTAATTGGTACCAGAGAAGAGAGATGGGGTACACCTAACAGCTCAGGGATATCTGATATTAAATCAGTGACTCAATTTTGTGTCTTGAAAACTAACAGCCCCTTTGTTCCTTTATTTCAACAATGTACAAAAAGTTAAAAATTACTCCATTCATCAAATTGCAACTGGCAATTGAACAGAACATCAGTAGGGAACAGAAGTGGGGTGTGTGTGTGACAGGACAGGAGAAAACCCAAAGGGATTTCATCCACCCAACCTCTCAGCTCTCCCAGCCTGTAGGGGACAGAGTCACATGAGCCAAGTCCCCGAGTTCCTAGGAGGAGAGTGATCTACATGACTGAGAGGGGAGAGAGGATTAGGACACGAAGAATCACCAGGGTTCTCTGAGCTGATGGAGGCTCAGAGATGTGGCTTCCTGACCCCTGCACAAGGCTAGACCCCCAGCTAAGTGGACTGCCTCCTGGGCAGTCACTGGACTTTAACAAAAACCGTGCATCCCCAGCCACTGTTCCCACAGGGTGGAGAGAGCACCTAGCCTTCAGAAATGGAAGGACTGGGGTACAAATAACCCTGCTTTCCTTTCCCTCTATTTACCTGCGTTTCTGGTGTCCAGTCCTGCCTACATGGTGTTAACATTTTCGACAAATGTAAAAACTCACCATCAACTCACTCTCCAGGTTACATATACATTTAGTTGAATCAATGATTAACTATCTGTACAATACTGAATGCTCACCTCCAATTTCCCTATGGAGTGTTTATGCCCTGCAGCTAAAGATAAAAATCATAATGTCGAGCATTAAAAATGAGTTACAAAAGGACATACATGCTCTGAGGCCATACATGCTCTGATGCCACTACACAAAGTTTTAAAACACAAATATAGAAGAGTGTAGAGATTTGTTCATAAGCACTAATTCCCAGAAACATATGTAGGAAAGTTGTACATGAACTTCAAGACAATGATGATATCTGGAAACGGAGGGAAGGTAAAATGATGGACTGGTGAGGCTTTAACTGAATAGTGAATGTTTTATTTATATAGAAAGAAAATAGATTCAAGAAAAAATATGGTGATGGGTAACTGCTATTAACTATGGGGGTAGGTACATAGATATCATATTCTATACTCATTCTATACCTTTCTATATACACGAAATACACCATAATTAAAAGTCCTAACATTAAAAATAAGATTCTGTTACTATTCAGTCATAAAAATGAAATAATATCATTTGCAACAACATAGATGGGCATAGAGATTATCATACTAAGTCAGAAAGAGGACAAATACCATATGATATCACTTACATGTGGAATCTAAAATATGACACAAATGACCTTATCTATGAAGCAGAAATAGACTCATAAACACAGAGAACAGACTTGCGGTGGCCAAAGGGAAGGAGAGGTAGGGTAGGGATGAGGTGGGAATTTGGGATTAGTAGATGCTAA